CTCAGGCCGCTCGTATAGCTGACGACGTGGTTCGCAAGGCCGTTACTTCCATCCAATTCGCTCTCCGTAGCATCGGGGTACATCAAAGGCGCTAGTATGGTCTCTAGCCGGTTGGTACTGGCCGATGCGAGACGCGAGTACACAAGCGGTGTTTGCAGGTCCACGAATTCGCCCTCATCGGGAACAGGCTGCAACTTGTCTGGGTTGCGTGGATAGCGAAAAGTAGTGGACGTATGGATTGGCGGGGCAACATCGGTGAGCGCATTGATGCGGTCGTCGGCATGGATGCCATAAGTCGAGGCGTGATATGAAGGCATCGTTTTGCTATTGAATAAGTATTCCTCCCGTAGCGAAACCGAGTAAAACTGAGATTGCGGTCGGGAAGCCTTCAGCCCGTCACTGAATCCGATATCGAGCGTAACGACCGCGGGGCAACAATCTTTTATCAACGCGAACGATATCAAGGTGACTATTTTCACAGAATGTCGACATCGCGCCCTAGGCGGCAGAAATGCGGACCACGCGTGCTAGATTAGCCATAGCCGCCACTACAGTGGAGCTACCCCCAATGATTTCATACCCAACCAGGGCCGGTATACTGTTGGGTTACTTGTAACACGTGGGGAGCTTGGAGCAGCAGTGCAAGTGGCTATGCGAATCCTGCGTGACAGCATGTGAGTGGGTACCTTGTTCGCTCAATATCTCCCTCCAAACTTTGCGTGTGCTTGGGACTCTCATACACATCTGTCAAGAGCAACTGTACCCCATACATTTTGCGTCGCGAACACCACGCCGGGACGATGACGAGTGCGGGGTAAAACTGCCCCGCACTCGCGACAAAATTTATCCCAAAGAACGGATGCGATGAGACCGTGGGGGAACCACGAACCATGAGATAGAGCTAAAGAGATCAAAATACAATTTCTGGGTCATGTGTCATTCCACTCATAGCTATCGGGTTGATCGTACACTTTCATCGACGATACCTACTTCAGAAGCAAAAGTCTATTTCAAGCCATCTCAAGTCCTCACCAGCCCATTATGACATACTCCACACGTCTAATTAATGCCAGCACCAACAATGGTAGGTGGCTTGCTCTTGTCCTTGATAGCACCACTGTCAGATCCGCATGCCTCGATAGCTCGGACAACCTTGTACGACTCGACATCGCCGTCAGGGACGCCGCCGAATACGACATGCTTGCCGTCGAGCCATGAGGTGATGACGGTGGTGATGAAGAACTGGGAACCGTTGCTGTGATCTGTCAGCTCCGCCCTGGTATACAAATGTACCTTTAACATACGTGTTGGGACCGGCGTTGGCCATGGAGAGGAGGAAAGGTCGGTCGTGCTGAAGCTTAAAGTTCTCGTCGGCGAACTTGTCGCCGTAGATGGACTTGCCCCCGGTGCCCTGCATTGTATCATGTCAATCAGCTGCCTCCAAGTGCACCCAGTCAGACACGTACGTTGCCGCGAGTAAAGTCGCCACCTTGGAGCATGAAGTTGGGGATCACGCGATGGAATCTGGAGCCCTTGTAGCCGAAGCCCTTCTCACCAGTGCAGAGCGCACGGAAGTTCTCGGCAGTCTTGGGAACTACATCGTCGAAAAGGTCAAAGTTGATGCGGCCAGACTGTTCTAGGGTGTGATGGTCAGTGACTGATCAGACACTTGGGCTGTTTGCGCAAAGACATGTGCCGACGACTGGGGTGCAGGAGTAGCTACCTTCGACCTGGCCGACCTTTGTGACCTTTCCAGTGTTGTCAACCTCGACGACGGGGCCCTTCCAGGTGCAATCGAAGTAAGCTTTGATGGCCATGTTGTATGCCGAAGGAGTGAAGAAGCGTTTATGGACAGAGGCGCGGAATTGAGGAGCTGCACGGAAAGCAGATAGAGCAGAGGCTCGAGGTAGGTGGGGCATGATGCAGACGCGGGGTGTAGCGTCTAACCTGAAAGGTAGTCAGTGCCATGTGCCTTGGCGGTGAATCGTGGTGAGATAACAGCGTGTTTGCCTGTGACGCAACATGTGCGTGGCACCCTGAGGCTGAAGCCGCAGTGAGGGTGAGGAGGGCCCTGGTCTTACCGTAGCGATTGTTCTTGAGACGGACGACCAGCGGCTCTTGCAATTGCACAATCAACGGCTGTGCGCGGTGGCGGCGAATATGCGGCGACAGTGCTCAATGGCACGGCTATGCAACCAGACGTAGGAAATGGAGACAAATATAGTACAGATGATGGCACAAACTGATGCGAAGTCGCTGGCGGAGCAGGCGAATGGCAGATGGGATAGAAAACTTTGGATACCTCGAGCTTAAGCACAAACCGCCGACTTTAGCGCGTTCCCCGATTCGGCGGATCCATTGCTCTACTAAGTAAGTAAATACCATTCCGAACCCATCTGTTTCCTGGTGGGTCTCCTACAGACAGCCGTTGCAGACGGACCGCTTGTGTCTGCCACAGCCATGTGCGAAGGAGAGTCTGCGACCTTTGCGTCTCTGCGTCACTGTATTCGTGGATAAATAAAAGTTGGGTTTGTGCTGGGAGGTGATGGAGAGAGAGCCAAGCGTTTGTCACGTGTATATGTGTGTGTGTGTGCATGGAGCAACCTCAGAGGCCATTCGGCCATACGGCGGGATTGGGCCAGACAGAGCAAATGGGCATAAGCGTAATCAGTTTCAGTGTGTGCACATGGGTTGATGCTGCTGGTACGAGTTCCTCCCAGCTCGCCTTGCCCCGTTAAACCTTCTGTGACATCCTCGCCCGTCCCGGCGTTTGCAAGGGCGCTCTCGGGGGTCCGCTACCGAGCCCATCAGTACCCAAGCTGCCTCCCCCCATACCAGCACACCCACGTCGACAAACAACCCCCAACAACGCGCGCAACAGCCACAGCCACAGTCATGGATTTGAGCAGCTTGAAAGACCAAGTGAGCAATCTCACGCTCTACGATCTCAAGGCCGGATTCCGCAAAGCCCAAAATGGTACGCCCATGAGAGAGAAGCCAGCTGGCCATCACTGACACGCTGCCTAGCCGTCATGAACTACACTGAGATGGAGGCCAAGGTGCGCGAGGCCACAAACAACGAACCATGGGGTAAGCAGCTTGTGCGCATCTTATGAGCAGTTGCTAACGGCCAGCAAGGCGCCTCCTCGACTGCATTACAAGAGATTGCCAATGCGACGTTCAACTAGTAGGTCTTGTTCATCAGAGGCCCAAAGAATGCTGCTGACAGCGCAGCCAACTACTGAATGAAATTATGCCCATGATCTACAAGCGTTTCACAGAAAAGGCTTCGGAAGAGTGGCGACAGATCTACAAGGTACTTCAAGCGCTCAATGGCACCACGCAAGCTGACAGTCTAGGCTTTGCAACTTCTCGAATACCTCATCAAACACGGCTCGGAGCGAGTAATTGACGATGCCCGCTCTCATGTATCACTGCTCAAGATGCTGCGACAGTTCCACTACATTGACCAGAACGGCAAAGATCAGGGCATTAATGTACGGAACCGCGCCAAAGAACTGGCCGAGCTTCTCAGCGATGTCGACCGTATCCGAACCGAGCGCAAGAAGGCCCGCGCGAACCGGAACAAGTTTGGCGGCGTCGAGGGTGGAGCGGGCATGGGCGGCTTCTCCGGAAGTGGAGGCTTCTCTGGGGGCAGTGGAGGCAGCAGGTATGGTGGATTTGGCAGCGAGTCGGCAGACTATGGTGGTTACAGAGGAGAAGTCTATGGTGATGGCGGTGGTTTCGGGGGCAATCAGTCAGGCTTTGCAGACACACAACAGCGACGTGAGCGATTCGACGAGTATGACGAGTACGATGAGGGTGAGAGCGCAAGCCCTGCACCTGCACGAAGAAAAGAACCCACAGCAAGCCGAAAAGAAGTCAAGAAGGAAGAGCCAAAGGCGAAGGCGCCCGAGCCAGTGGTCGATCTGCTGGCCTGGGATGACGAGCCTGCGCCAGCCTCAACCTCCGCTGGAAAGAAGCCTATTGCCGCTGCAAATGACGACTTTGGAGACGACGATGATTTCGACGATTTCCAGTCTGCAGCACCCGCGGCACCCGCAGCCAAGCCTGCTCCTGCTCCTGCTGCGGCAGCTTTCAACATGGCCCCTCCAGCGTCTACATCCACCATCACTTCCTCGACTCAATTCGCCGCACCACAAGCTCAGTCTGCTTCACAGAACAACAATTTGAGCAATTTGTTTGCCACGGTCTCGCCACCACCCGCTGCAAACAAAATGAGCAGTCCACCGTCTGTTGTTTCGCCCATCTCCCAGCCGCCTCAGCCATCCGGGTACCAGGCAACAGGTCCGAACTACTTCACATCTGTACCTCAGCCCGCTCCTCAATCAGGAGCCTCGACACCTTCTGCCATATCCTCAGGCGGCCGCATTGGAGGTGGAGCTGCTCCTAAGAAAGCTGGAGGCGACGCCTTCGCCTCGTTGCTTGGTGGGGTTGCACCTAAGAAGGCCTCTACGCCCACGCAAAAGGTCACTATGGGTGATTTGGCCAAACAGAAGACGTCCCAGGGGCTGTGGGGAGCTCCTACATCTTCTGCTTCTAGCACGCCTGCTACCCAAACACCGCAGTCGGGCTCTAAGCCTGGTGGTGCCTTAGGTGACTTGTTGGGATGAGCGATGTCATTGTTTGTATGCATCATCCATCCACGACTGGCGTTGGGGTACAAAATGGGGGCGTACTGCGATAGGGTAGTGAAGTTGATCCTGTAGACCATTGAAATGCACGACGATCCGATTTTTGATTGCAATTGGCTTGTAAGCCTATGGTGAAGCCTTGAGTGTTTGTGTGTACCCTACAGAGCCTAGGTTGCGTCCCACGTTGGTTCCCCGCAAATGCGGCTACTTGATTGGTTGCGGCGGTGCGGTACCCCTGCGCGCCTAGTAGTATTCCGAGCCTACCCTGCTGCAGCCAGGATCCATCCTGAGGCACAACATGGGAAACCATAACCTCATCTTTTCTCGCTGTCCGGGCATGCTTCAATGCTGATCTCGAGATTACTTATTCGCATCGCATTGCTGCTGCTTCCTGTAGCTTCCATCGGCACAACATGGCTGTACTTGTACCCAATCTTCCACGGCTGCGCGTTCCCCACTCCACCATCCACACATCCGCAGCCCCTGGCGCCCTTTCGCCTCCTGTCACTCGGTGACCCGCAACTCGAAGGCGACTCGTCGCTACCTGACCCCAACGCCCTCATCTTTCCGTCCGTCGAGTTCCTTGTCACTGATCTCCGCGATGCAGAAGATTTTGCTGAGAGGATCGATATTGTAAATGAAGCCGCAAGGGGCGTTGTAAAAAACGCGCGGAAATGGTTGGAGGGAAAGAGAAAGGAAGTTGATCTCTGGGGAAATGATCGCTATTTGGCGCATATTGTGAGGAGCTTGCGGTGGTGGACTCAACCAACGCACATCAGTGTGCTGGGAGACTTGCTCGGCAGCCAATGGGTTACTGATGGCGAGTTCAGTAAACGTGCGGGAAGATACTGGAACACCGTCATGAAAGGGCTGGAGAAAGTGCCGGATGCCATATTTGGTGTTGAGCCTGAGTTGCCCAAGGAAGAGCCAACGAAGCCAGCCGTAGAGCAGAATGCGGAACAAAAAGGTGATGGCATAGGCGGAGATTCCGAGACAGCAGAGCCGACTACACAGCCTACCGTTGAACAGGAAGATGAAGGTAGAGATGAAGAGGCAGAAGCAGTAGTCGATAAGGAAGAGAAGCCGGAGCGAAAAGCATATTGGGGTGGCACAAAAGAAGTCCTTGGCGCAGACACTTGTTGGGAGAAGCGCGTAATCAACATCGCAGGAAACCACGACGTTGGATATGCAGGAGATATCGATCAGTCGCGCATTGACCGGTTCGAGCGAGCCTTTGGTAGCGTCAACTGGGACATATGGTTTACACTGCCCGACGCACTGCGCTCTAACGAGACGGCCCATGTATCAAGACGACACCCCGACAGACCACCAACCCTCCGCCTTGTCGTCCTGAATTCTATGAACTTGGACACGCCTGCTTGGTCCCCAGATCTACAGACTGAAACGTACAACTTCCTGAACTACATCATCTCCAATTCGCTCCCCGTCAATGACAAAACGCACGCAACTATCCTTCTCACGCACATTCCTTTGGAGAAGGAAAACGGCATATGCGTCGACAGTCCATACTTTGATTTTTTTGAAAGCGGACACGGATTGAAGGAGCAGAATATGCTGTCAGATCATTCTAGCAGAACAGTCCTGGAAAGTCTCTTTGGCATGAGCTGGAAGAGGTATGTCGCTGGCCTAGGAATGGGCAGAAGGGGCGTTATTATCAACGGACACGATCACGCTGGCTGTGATGTCGTCCATTACATCAGGCAACGCGGTGTCGAGGATACGTGCCAACCGGAAGCGATCATGGAGGAAGATGCATACTGGCTGACCCGGGCTGCTAACGAAACCATGATCCCCACACCAACAGATATTGATAGCTCGGGTATCAATATAGTCGCTGCCAACGACACTGATGCCGAGCAAGACGCACCGCCTGATGTTGATGCTGCGTCTGAGTCTTCCACAGAGTCTTCTCAGCCTACAGAAACGTCTACACCAAATCCTCCAACACCAGCATGGCGTGCTCGCCGCTTTCCGCACCGCCGTTACGAAATTACGCCCGATAACGAATGTACTGATATCAATGCTTCCCCTCACATCCGTGAGATCACGCTGCGCAGTATGATGGGCGAGTACTCTGGTTACGCGGGTTTCTTGTCTGCCTGGTTCGACGAGCAAAAGGGCGAGAGGGGTGAATGGGTGTTTGAGTTTAGTACGTGCGGGCTTGGCGTACAACACTGGTGGTGGGGGATTCATATTGTGGATTTGGTGCTGGTCATTGCCCTATTTGGTGCGGTTGTTGCCCGAGTGGTGGAGCAGTTGGTAACTTTACAGGGTGTAGAAGAGAGAAAGAAGTCTACTGAGCTGGATACAAGTGACGTAAAATCCAGTGAGAAGGAGACTGCTGTGTATAGCAGCACAAGCGCTAGAACGGCTTCGGTTAGTGGAGTCACGAAGCGACGGATATAGAGATGTTGGTTCCAACTGTTGATACTATCGGAATATGCCAGAGCATGCTTCGAATTATTTGCAAGGTGTGACTGAAACGCTGAGAAGGGACCAGTTGTAGAGAGTGGGTGAATCGCAATAGAGCATTAATGAGTTGGATGATACTGTCGGTGCTAAGATCTCAGTAATGCAGAGCGCGTGGCGGAGTGACAGGGTCAAAAGGCGGTTCAGGCAATACAATCATGATTACATTGAGATGATGAGTAACTTGTAGACTCTCGAGTTGTTTTGAAACATATATTTAAAGGCGTGGCATCATTGCTCGGCTTGCCATGTACTCCCCATTTCTTGCATCCTCTTTAATCATTTCTGTAGCCCCTTCTCCAATACCATACGCCACCATCTGTGTATGTCCATTATTGACCTTGGGTATTGACGAAACATCCGCAACACGCAGGTTACGAACGCCACGTACACGAAGCCGCGAGTCAAGAACAGCATTCGCATCATCTGATTTACCCATCGCGCAAGTGCCCGAAGCATGGTAACCTAGACGCACGCAACTCGATCAGCTCCGACCACTGAACAAACAAACATCCAAGTAGAACATGACTTACAAGTCGTAGCATGCTCCCTAACATATCCCTCCCACTCCTCCCTCTTGGTGTACTCATGATGCCTCAACCCCGGCGGCCAACTCCCCTTAACCACACCCTTCGTCGCAACCCCCTCCATCACAACCTCATTCGCAAACCGGCACGCCTCGCTCATAACAAGCATATCAAGCGGATGCTCCAGGTACCCGTGATCCACCACCGGGTTCTCCCGTGCATCTTTCGACCTGAGCCTCACACTGCCCCTGCTATGCTGGTTAAATAGCAACGCGCACATGGCAAATGCGTGCTTGTTGTCTACAGGAAAGTCAGTGTATTGTTTGGGGCCCCCGTACATTTCTGTGTTCCAGAACTCGACGTTGGGTTGATTGGGTAGTAGGCCCATGGGGTCTCGGCCCGGTAGGCGGGGGGCGCTGGTCCAGAGGGGGGAGGAGGCGAGGCGCGAGTCGAGGCGGGCCCAGCTGAAGATGCCGAAGGGGAAGGTGGAGAGGACGCCGGTTTTCTTGTCTTGCCAAAGTTTGTAGGTGGTTTCTATGGCGTTGCCGTGGTGGGCGAGGTGGTCGTTTGTTAGATTTGGGGAGGAGACTTCGTAGAAGATAAAGCAGAGCTGAGGGTGTGTGGGTCAGTAGTTGCATGCTTTGCATAGTGATGGGAACATACGACGTGGTCCATGAGGTTCTTGCCGACACCAGAGAGATTGACGAGGCAGTCAATCTTGTGTTTTTCTAGTTCGTCTTTTGGTCCAATCCCTGAACGCATAAGGATCGTTGGACTGCAGTATGCACCTGCTGTGATTATGACTTCTTTTCTCGCTTTGTATTCAATTGTTTGGCCAGTTTTCGAAATAGCGGCAACGCCCGTTGCAGTAAGTTCATCGCTGTCTTGACTCAGAATGACCTTGTCGACAGTCACCTCAGTCTTGATCGTAATGTTGTCTCGTTTTCGATCCTTGGTAATGAAATCTGCGGCCATTGTTCGAATACCTTGGTGCACTGTTCGCGGAACATCACCACATCCATGCGCTGTTTCTCCAGTGGAAAACATGTCGGGACGATATGGGAGTCCCTTTTCTACCAGGCTTTCTCGCACGAGTTCTGAAATAGGTGCTAGGTCGTGTGGCTCGGTGTGAAGAGGACCCGATGTCCCATGGACTGAAAGATCAGCTTTGTGCCAATGCTTTCCATGGAATGTTTCCGCCTAGTTCGGGGTCAACTTATCCAAACTATCGATGTTGAATGGAAGTCTCGTACCTTCTTCATATACTCGAACATCTTATCACCACTCCACTCGTCCAAACCCCAGTCGTCGTAATCCTGTTTCGTCCCGCGGATACACAAAGTACCATTAACACCACTCGAACCGCCAAGAAACCGGCCTCTGCTAACTTTGACTTGACGATTGTCAATATTTTCCATGGGTTCCGTAACAATGTTCCAATCCGTCTCGCTGTCGAAATTGTTGCTCCATCTGCATGCCGACTCAGCAAAACGGACCAGAAAGCAGTGGTTCAACTTACCCTCCCGCCATGTGAACATTCTCTAGATCTGAACTGTCCGGTCCTGCTTCCAATACAAGGACTTTTACGTTGGGGTCTTCGGCAAGGCGGCCTGCTATCACGCAACCAGACGTACCACCACTAGCGGTTGTAAGCCGATGCTCCCATTGCGAACAACCCTGTCTTCTGTATCCGTATCTATTGAAACATGAAAAATAACCTACCCACAGATTATGTAGTCATAGATCTCTGCGGGGTCAATCGAGTTGATTTGTTGAAGTGACATGATGGCTGCGGTAATGCTACCTTCAACTTAGGAGAAAATAAAATACCGTTCACAGTCCAACCCCAGCCTTTCGCCTACTTCGCGACTGAGCTTTATACTCTTTTCGGTTTACAGCCCCACATACTGTGGAAAAATGCCGTAGACCATCTGCACATGATTATGCATGTCACAAGGACGATCTGCCGGCTACCCGTCCGTGAATGGGAACTCTAATAAGACTCAGCCAATACCATCTACGGTGACCCAACCTATTTAGAACACTGACTGTACATGTATGCATCTCAATAGCTCTACTGTATCCATTACAAAGCGTGGGCAGGGTCCGACCATAAGCACGGTCTACCTAGCACAGTAAGTTTCCTGTCTTGCTTACACTTTTGAAATGTCGGAAAGATCTGCTGTCAGATAGAATGTGTTATAGCGAATGGTAGGAAAGCTCGCGATGTATCCACTGTCTAGTCTTGCCTCCTGGTGTGGGGTATGATGCGGGGTAGGGCAATTGAGCCGGAAGTACCAAGCTGTGAGTGCGGAATTCGTCCCCAAAGCATTCTGTGTTTGGGGATCTGAAAAACTTCTTGCATTACGTGTGTAGTGTTATTTGAGTGTTGCCCTGCGACTGGCTATTGTAGCCTCCTCGATGTTTTGTACATGATCCTTTGTTGTCCCAAAACCATACTCATAAATACTACAACCTTGCGTTGTAATTCTCGGGAGCTGCCTCTCTAACGATAGAATAAGCAACCAGAAACGATAAACCCAATTTCTAGCCTTGAATCCATCATCTCGTAAAGCGAGACACTCCCTCCCACAAGGCGAGCATAGCACAGGCCCCTGTCCATACTACCCCGTTACCGCCCTCTCACGCCATCGTGCCGCTGCCCCTTGCCCTCCGTTCCACACCTCTCCTAGCGACAAGGCACGAAGTAAAACTCCAGCCTAATCAAGACCTTCCAAAGCGCCAGCTAAGCCCAGACAAGCCTATTCTCCAAGCCTCAGCCCACGTTACAAGCACGAGCAACCGAGCGCATTTTCGAAACATAATGACCGGCAGCAGCCCCGAGATTTCAAACCACACATGCTGCAGCCTAGGCGCATCAAACACCAGCATCCACTTATTTGACCATTAATGCACCAATGCAAACATCAGGGCCTATACCGTTAGGCTCTTTACGGGCAAAATGGAGCTTCGTGGAGAGGCTTGGCTAGGTGGATAGGTGTTTAGAATTCGAAGCAGTCTAGAGCGCGACAATGAGGCAGGTGGATAGTCGTATACATAGATGCACTATATTCCCCCATACTCTCTTCCTTCTTACTTTTTCTTTCTGTATACTGCCGTGCGGTACTGTTTGCCTCCTCTTTATTTTTGCTTCGTTTTGGCCGGTCCACCGTTTCATAATTAATATTTTGTTTCTTCGTCCGATCGACAATTTGCACCAACATCACGCAGCTCAAAATGTATAAGCTCATCACCCTATCTCTACTAGGTCTCACATCTGCTTTGCCTCAGCGAAACCGAGGCGGCAATCGTGGCAACAGCCAACAAGCCACGGCCTTTCAACGAGCTGCTCAGATCCCCCAGGGTATCTCACAAGCTACCGATGGGTCTACAATCTTGGATGATACTGTAATGGTCAACAATCTTCCTATACGATTCAAGATCTCTGCCCCAGCAGATCAATTCCTTCCTGCCTCAGGCGTACCTGGTGCAGCAGCCACATCTTCAAACGGAACTCTGGGAGCCAACGTCCTGCTCCATGGCGATGGAGGACAAAGCTTCTTCGACATGCCAAACCAGGCTGTACAGGCCAACACTATGGGAGTCGCCCTTCTCGCGCCTGACGACAACCTTTTCTGGGGTGGAGGCGCTGGTCTGCAGCGAACAGATGGTGTAGCACACGCACAGGCAGTCAACGACTTTATCCAAACTGAGCTGCCCCAGCGCGTGGCAGTCAACATGTCGAACATCGTATTCACAGGTGTCAGTGGCGGTAGTCTTATGATGAGCGGCTTCTTCATCCCAGCACAAATGCAAAACTACCCAAACAGTGCTGTTGAACTCAACTGCGGAGGCATGCCCCCACAAGTCCAGTTTCAAAACGCGGCCACCGTCATGAGCCAGACAAGAATTCATTACCAGTCTACCCAGAGTGAGCTCCAACTGCTTCAAGGCAGTATCCCACAGGCCGTGGCGGCGTACGAGCAGCTTGCATCCGATGCAGGCTTGTCGGCGGCTCAGATCAACCAGCTGCAGACTGTAGACAACACACCTGCTGGCGGACACTGCGAGTTTGATGGGCTGGACTTTGTTTCTGGTGTGCAAACAATGTCCTCGAGCTACGCAAGTGTAATGCAGGGTGGTAATGGTGCGGTCAAGGGAATTGGTGCGCCCAGTACTGGCGTAGTGACAACGGGTGTGGTTGGAAACGAGAATTTGCAGTTTGTCGGTGGAAGGAAGCGCTCAGAAGAAGCCAAGAGTATGATACAGATGAGGTGGGCGCAAGAGGTTGTTGAGGAGACCGCGTTTGAGATGTTGGCATGCGATCGGAGTTCGTGCTCGGGCGACGAGCCCCGACTTTAAGAGTCCTAATGTTCAGTACATATATTTCCACGTCTGGCGGTGCGTCAGCATAACAATATCTATTTCGTCAAATATCTCTAGCACGTATCCATGTTGTCATTTGCAGGTCGCGAGTCAAGTCGAGTCATGCAGCCATCACTGGAGGTCGGGGTGCAGGTTGTGGTTTGGTCGTAATGTTCATTTGACTGGTATTGTGAAGGTCGCCCCATTGCTAATCATAGCCGCAATGTCGTCGCCCAAATCCTTCACCCCGTAAATGCATTTTCGCCGTGCCCATAAACCCATGAATGTTATCGAAAGCAGGAAAAGAGACACCTCACATGACGACACCGGAGTTGGAGGCGATACGCTGGGCATTATTAGCAAACCGCCTTGGTAATCCATGGTTTATACATACCGGCCACAGCTCAGCGGCCTCCTTGGCGACGGGTCCGGTAATGGCAGAGCCCTTCATTTCACCCTTGGGGTTGACAATGACACCGGCGTTGTCTTCAAAGTACAGGTAGATTCCGTCCGCCCGCCTCCAGGGCTTGCTCTGGCGGACAATGACGGCGGGCATGACCTTCTTCCTCAGCTCGGGCTTTCCCTTCTTGACAGTCGCCATGACCATGTCACCGGCACCACCAGCGGGCAGACGGTTGAGGCGTGCACCGATACCCTTGACGGAGATGATGTACAGGTTACGGGCACCGGAGTTGTCGCAGCAGTTCATGACAGCACCGCTACATGTCCATTAGTCTTTATTCCTTGCATTGTATTCTCTAGATGTATCGCGGGCGGGAGAAGGCTCGGCGGAGCGGTCGCGGCGGGTTTCAACGTACACTGGCAGACCAAGAGTCATCTTGAGCTTGTTACCGGAGGTAGAACCTCGACTGTGTGCGCGTTAGCCACCACTTCACCACATACATGACGGCGTCTCGAGGTTTTTTCTTCTGCCTCTCCAGCCGAGAGAATAACATACCCGCGCTTTCCAGACATTTTGGATGATTATCGGGGGGATATTCGATTTGGCGGGTTTTGGGTGCGTCGTCGCTGAAGTTGTCGGGAGCTGCGTGAAGTTCGCCAGGTGGGTTGCGCTCGCTAACGAAATTCTGTGTGCGTGGTCTGTGCGCTTGTCAGTGCACCCGCCGAGCCCTGTGTAGGTGTATGCTCATGTGATTTGCAGCCGAATGCCTCTAACCATAATGACCTGGGCTGATGTTCAGATGGCTCTTCCACTTTGTTGATACGGACATCATGCAGGATCGATCGAATGGAAGACACGAAGTTTATTCGTGCTGTTGTCAATCTGATCTGCGATCGCATAGGTACTTACCTACCTATTGTGTTTCTCAACCACGCTTGTATCATGGCTCTTGTTCTGGACTGCCAGGTTATGGACTACATACTTCGAGAAAGCCTCGCCTCTATACCGATGCACTGCGAGCAGCATCGTTCCATGCGCATCAGGCTCTAGGTCTTATCTATACCATACTGATTGGTTTTCTTAAAGTATACTCATACATCACATGCTTCAATATTATAGTACTGGCGTTGATCCACAGAATATCTTCCAGACTTTGGTACTTTCGTATTTCCCGACTTGAGGGATGATCCGCGGCAAGCACGACCAAAAATGATAGATTCTATTTTCTATCTTGTTTTTGAGACTAAGTGTGTGCAAGGACAAGGGCTGGAACTCGTTGCTCGTACTGACTTCAAGTACGGCTCTAACCATTCACATAAATCCCCTCTTGTCCGATTACAAAATTTCAAGAAGACTACTTGATTTCTTGGAACAGAGTTAGGTCCATTTCGGAGTATTGAGCTTTCTTACTCAACGCACTATCGTAATGTCCAGAGTTTAACGCATTCAGCCGTCATGGCGCATCATCCGCCGCTTTATGGAAAAGAAAGGAATGATTATATATGGCCAGTGATGCGCTTATAAGCGATCGTATCATGCGTACTTGCTAATCAATGGTGCTGGGCATGACCTCGGTGATCTGCTGACAGTGGTAGGGCTCAAAGGTTTGCGGGACAGCGCATCTCTGTTGTATCCTATACACTAATTTCCCACTATTAGGCTCGCAAGCAGTCTCAGACTGTGATGCGATATGCAGAGCTACGAGCAGCTGGTGTCTTTATAGGAACACAAGAAATTTTTCGTATCTAGTACAGGGAGTTGGGGTAAGCTAGACGCATCTTAGTACGTTCCTGCACACAAGCGGTTTTTATTCATCAGGTGAGGCCACTCTAAGCGTACTGTGTAAGCAATCCGCGACTGATTAAAGATGCTGTTGTTCAAGTTCCCGTTTTCTATCCCAAACAGTAAGCCCTAATAGTAACCAAGCACTTGGCATTGAACTCTATCTACCCCGGCACCACGCATGTCACTGGATAGAGTGAACAACTTGCCGCAGATGTTAATATTCTGGACCACTTCATGTTTTTAAGATATTACAGCAACCTGCAACAGCGCACACTATACGAATAAGGCTAGGAAATGTCCTTTTTAGTGGAATACACCGACTGCTCGCGTCAACAGAAGTCATGACAATGCGCCGATGACATCCGAGCTTATATTAACACACACGCTTAAACACGAACCCCTGGACGCTTCTCCCGTCCCGGTAACTCTGCGGAGAAGTATAAATTGTAAAGCGAATCATCGGAAACAATTTACCAACCTTCGCCTCTCTTGAGAAAGGCTTCTTTTACTCTCGAAACACCTCAACATGGCACCATTATTTTTCGCAGCAACCCTGTTGGGTCTAGCCTCCGCTCAAACGATGGGGACCACACCTGAAGTACATCCAAAGCTATCAACCTGGAAATGCACAAAAGCTGGCGGATGCAAGATGCTGGACACTTCGATTGTTATCGATTCTTTGAGACACAAGGTCCACCCGAAATCTGATCCGAGCGCGACTTCGAGCTGCGGCGATCGAAATAACCCGCTCAACCTAACGGTGTGTCCGGACAAAGCGACATGCGCCCAAAACTGCGTCATCGAAGGCATCCAAGATTATTCAACACAAGCAGTATTTACTGATGGTGGAAAGCTTCGTCTGGATATGTTTAACCCAAGCGGCGAGTATATGAGCCCCAGAGTGTACCTGCTAGGCGAAGACAAAGTAAACTACGAGATGTTGCAATTGAATGGCCAGGAGTTTTCATTCGACGTTGACATGTCAAAGCTCCCTTGTGGTATGAACAGCGCCTTGTATCTTAATGAGATGAAGGCCGATGGTGGACGCTCGAAATTGAACCCTACTGGTGCCAATATGGGGTGGGGATACTGTGATGCGCAGTGTTCTGTCAAGCCATTTCTAGACGGCGAAGTAAGCATGGTTAAGTAACATGGTCCTATCGAGCAATGGCTAACTCAATGTAGGCCAATATCGACAAGGAAGGCGCATGCTGCAACGAAATGGACATTTGGGAGGCTAACAGCCGAGCAAACCAGATTGCGCCCCACGTGTGTGCCAAAGAAGGTGTGATTAAATGCACTGGCGACGATTGCGGCGTATCTGGTGTTTGTGGCAAGACTGGCTGTGGAGACAACGCTTACAACTTTCGAAACTCCAAGGACTTCTATGGCCCTGGTCTCAAAGTTGATACAACTAGGCCTTTTACTGTTGTCACTCAGTTCCCAGAGAAGTATGGTGTTCTCCAAGCTATCATTCGAAAATATGTCCAGGATGGTGTCGTTACTGAGAACGCCATGTCAAACGTTACTATGGATCAAGTCTGGTGCTCAGCTCAGGCTCGTGCCAAGGAATACAACAAATTTGGTGGCCACAAAACTATGGGCGACGCTCTTGCTCGTGGCATGGTCCTTACATTTAGTCTATGGTGGGACAAGAACGGGGGGATGCAGTGGCTTGACGGGGGGCTAAATGGACCTTGCAGCCCTGCTGAGGATTTTCCTGATATTATTCAGCAGAAGGTGAAGAACCCCACTGTCACTTTTAGCGAAATTAAATGGGGGGAAATAGGCTCGACATTTGGAACAAACCAAACTTTACAGTAGAGTGAGCGCGACAAGAATTTTGCCAGCTACGGGGTATTTTGGTAGCCGCCAAACATCATCCGAATCCCACAAGGTTATGAGGTGTCACGGATACAAGGAATCAAATTGTCAATTGGGCGAAGAGCAATATTGCACTACAGAAGTGAACGAATGTGTTTCACCATAAACCGACACTCCAAAATCCGATGAAATTTCTCACAAAGCAATGACTACGAGGTTGTGTGAAGACTTCTTATACTATTTATATTGGTTATTCTCATTACATGTTGTTATGGTTGAGAAAAGAATATCGAAATGCCTCTCTATACCGTTGCATGATGATGTAACATCCTAGAGATACTATTATAGTCGCGCCTTCATCGAACTGCACCACATTCAGACACAGCATTTGCCGATCGTAAGGGAGACCTATTGCAACATGTTATATCGCATAGTTCATCTTGTAAACTCATTAGCAAGGATTCCAGCCCGGGATTCTTATGTACGGTACGGTACTTACTCGTCTCCTCTCACTAAGAACTGGTAAACACAATGTGGCGGAGTTTACTTGTGAAGGTTCTCAGCTGCCATTGAAATCACTCACATATGCGAAAGAAGGAGCCGTATCAGCTAGATTTTACAAGCTAATGTTCATCAGCCAGTACCTTGCCAAAAGATCTACGAGTATGAGTGAGTACAGATGGCGGAAACTACATAATGGACTTAACTTATGACTCCTTCAGTAAGCTTATTTAGAAGTCAATCATGTATACGCATAATACTTGCTGGCCCTTTGGGCAAGAACGTATTCTTTTGTTGTGACTGCACATACATGTGATGCTTATCGTAGCGCTTTTCACTATCGCCAGCGCCAGCGCCTCTCTGATCCTCTTTACCCCAGCAATGGAATTATAAACACTATCACAAACAAGGACCTCGGCTATGTAGTACCATATAATATCGCTGGTGTCTATCTGTAATAAGTATTCCTGAATGAGAACAGGCGGCAATACTGTTATGGCGCTGCGAAAAGGCGTACAAGCACAGGTCATAGCATGATACTGGAGGAATCAATCGTGAGACACTTGTCCTGTTCCTCACGGGGAAACATATCTTGGTTACCTGGATTGCAGCTTCGCTGTTTCCTGTACTATGAAGTGGCAGGGCAATCCTCCTCACATAAGGTCAATTTTGTTCATTATTCAAGGTTTAACACACTATGTATGTAATGCGGGCTGTAGTTGTCTGATGTAAGAAGTTCATGAGAGCCTATCCAATGAATCTTACACTCTTCCTGAGTTCAGTAGGTCTGAGGATATTGCGCATCTGTGAAGGAGTGTTGCAGATGGTCTGGCCGCCGCAGGCTTATAAAACTACCACTAATATGTGGAAGATTTGATTGCAGCACATTGGAGGCATGACCCACCAGACCACACAAGAGGATGCGAAATTTCATCATCAAACAGCATTTTCAGTGCGCAATTTTCGTTGCATGAATCTAGCGTTCGTGGTGGAAAAACGAACCGGTGCAACCAAAGTGTCGGAACAAGCTGAGATTGACCGGTCGCCCACCTCGTTAGTTTGCCAGCCTTGAGTTGGCGCCCGGTACAGTTGACTATTCTGGAAAGATGGACCCACTAGCTATGACCGGAAGGAGGAGGCAGAGCAGCAACACATATTATGCCACCGTTGATATTCCGCGCATAGTTACGAGCTATGCAGAGACCTCTTTTAGATTACAACCAACCATGTGCGCCAGCCCCTAGAGCCTTCCCAACGCCAGGAGACACAGGAAAAGTGCAGTTTCCACGAAAGCGCTACATTGATATTTGGCCCACAGATGATCTCCATGGTCAGGACCGGTCCGATCGTCATGCAGTTTAGGCGAACAATTTTTTTCGTAGTCTATAAAATTCCTAAGGATATGTTTTTTCAAAATTTTCCCTCTTCCATCAATCAAACAACCTCTGGATGATCACCATCCGAAGAATAGCATCGGTGGTTTAGTGGTAAAATTAGCCGTTGCCATCTCTCCTTGAAAACAGTTTCGGCTAGCCCCGGGTTCGATTCCCGGCCGATGCATTTATTTTTGCTTTTCTGATGGCATCGATGAAAGGATTGACCAGCATCGGGATGTCGTGCTGTTAGCGGAGCATTTTCCGTCACGTGATCTATTCACTGTGACGACCTTTTTGCTCCCGCTTTCAGGCTGAGTACCTGTTGGACTGGGGATGTTCTTGTGAGACTTATATTTTCAGCCCTAAGATACTGTTGACAGGCGCGGTTTGTTTTGAATAGTGTTCTTCGCAGCTATGTGTGCTATTTCTAGAACTGTCGTCGACATTACTCTTTGTGCCATTTCTGCAATGGATCTTGTAAAAGCGTAGATCTCATTCAAAGGTTTACGGTTTTGTATTTCACTAGTAAATAGAACATAAGTTCTAAAGTAGTCAATACCTTGAACCGAAAATAGTCATCAGGTGTAAAAGCCTGACAGAACTTGGCTAGGTAGCAGAGTAAAAAGCCCACGAGTAGAAGATCTCAGTATCTTAGATCATCCTGTACAGAATCTGATAGGTCTTCCCTCTCTTTTCGTTGTTTTGCAGGTTGTATTGCATTGTGCGCAAAAGCTGCGTAGCGAGCTTGATGCTCTGGCTGAGTATGAAACGAAGCCACATTTTCCACTCAACACCGCGCCTCAGACCTTGGTACGACGAGTCACAATCATGAGCACTCTCTATGTTTCAAAATACTCGCTGCAGACTGAATTGGAGGAGTGAATGGTAGTATGTGAAAATATCGCTATTCCAGATCCGGTTAGCGCGGTTTTGCGATAATCGAATGTCGAAATTCAGTTCATCCACCATTGACCGCCGACGACATCGACACAACCAAGCCCCACACCCAACACCCCGCCCTCTACCTACACATCAGTCAAAATGGAGAACGAACGCGGCGAGCTCGTTGACCGTAAGAGCTATCTTTCCCTCGCGCGGCGGCTGGCGATGTTTTGCCCACAGCGCGGCCCCGCCAGCGCGCACACTGTACTTGCGAACCACCACCGCTAACTTGTTCACAGTCTACGTCCCCCGCAAATGCGTGAGTACCCGTCAGACAAGTGAATGAATCATGAGCGGCGATACTGACCCCTTCAAGTCGGCTACCGGACGCATCATCAGGGCCAAGGACCACGCCTCTGTCCAACTGAGCATCGGCAAAGTTGACGAGAACGGCCGCTACACCGGTGACAACCAGGTCTACGCCATCTCCGGCTTCGTTCGCGCCATGGGCGAGTCCGACGACAGCCTTAACAGGCTCACACAAAAGGACGGCTTCCTCAAGTCCGTCTGGAGCGCGTCTCGTTAAGTGGTTGGGGATTACGGGTGGAGGTATGACATGTGGCGGTACCTTGGGGTACCTGTATATGGAAACGACATCAGCTGACAGGAGCCAGGAATTTGGCATGTTAGATCTCTTTCGAAGACGGAGGTGTGCACTCTACGGCCAAGGCTTCATTTCCTTTTTCCGACAGACCAACGATGGCACGAGGAATGGGAATCGGTTGAGATATGAGGACCATCGAATTCGTAAAACTCTGTTTACGATCAATGCAGCTATGAATCTCGTTCTTCTTGGCCGTGACATTGTTTCCGTATTTGTCATGTCATGCGATGAAAATAGTATTGACTTAAAATGATCATACTGTCGAGTAATCAGGCTAGCCACTGACAAATCCTTAATAACACGATCTGAACCTCATCCAACCATATCTTGCATCGATCGGATACATCAGCTGCTCATTACTAACTCACATTCTTGTTCTCGCACTAGATTATTATCGACAGTGAGATCCATACATACGCTCACGCCCGACTTCAATGCGCAGCCTTGTTGACCAATCTATGACCAGCCATGTCACATTATATGCGCAACTCCGTCACCCACATCGTACTCATTACCCAACCGCATGTACAGATACCGATATGTAATTCCCCAGTAGAATGCACACGATGCACCGTTACGTGGCTCTGCGACATACAGTTCCCTAACCATCAGACATCATCTACGCTTCCCAAAGCCACCCGAAGGCTCGCACACATGTATCTGGGTGATGTTACACCACAGAGGAATTACGCGAAGTGATAGGTAGAGATCAGCAATGCAGCCTTCCACCCTCTCATTTGTGTTGGCCAGTTCGTACCCTTTCTCTCTTTGTCTCTCTCTCTCTCTCTCACACACACACACACACACTCAGAAACAACCAAACAAAAATAACAAGAAGCAACCCAACTGCCCCACCACACCTCGCCTAAACGACAGCTCTGTCCCTCTCCTTGCCTCGCCGCCGTCACGTCCCCGCTCCTCAGGCCAAGGATAAGCGCATGTATACACTTGCCACTTATGCAACTACATGCCTCATGCCGCGCAGCCGAGCGAGCGGGCGGGCGAGAGCTGCCGTGTAACGTTTGACGAGGCCAAGACTACCATGTAAAGAGAGAGACAAAGAAAAAAGAGATGCGGGGGAGGGGATGTGGTCTAGACTTTTTTCCCCTCTACATTCTGCAGCTAGAGAATGGAAAAGAGAGAAGGGTTTGGGAAAAACACGACGAGATGAAGGTCCCGAGCAGCCAATAGTTTCCGTGCGGGGGATAGTAGGGCCAAAAAAAACGGTACATCTCTCTTTTTTTCTTTCTAATTTTATTGGAAATTTGTCGCATTGGTTCTGTAGCTAGTGTGTAGTAGGTACATACTGCAATTGGCAATTTTTCAAAATCTACAACATGGATAGGCACACACACACACAGACACACAGACACACAGACACACAAAAGAAAAGTGGAGAGGGAGAGAGAGAGGACAAGACAAAAAGATCGCTGTCCAAACATTCCGATCTTGCCCTTATCGCCTTTAGTGCCCGCCCCTCCCATCCATGTCAAGATTCTAGAACACGTGGATAATCAAGGTACCACGATACGAGAACTCGGAGACCAAGAAAACTCAATTCAAAATCATACATATACGGACCGATTGCGAAGAGAGAGAAAAAAAAAGGTTCTTTCGCCAGCCAAAGCGTCTAAATGAAAGCAAAAAAAAAATGAGTTGGAAATGCATGTATGTACACGTACATATAGTTAGTGGGTTTCCTCGGGATTACTGATATCGCAGGGAACACTGGGGTAACGTAAGCGAAGAGAGGGGTGGGGGGAGGGGAAGGGGAAGGGTTATGGAAAGAGGCGTTGAGGTTTTGTTATGCGGGCGCTTGAGTAACGAAGAGAGAGCGAGAGAGTGAGAAGGGGGGAAAGAGAAAAACAGATGACACTTCCCCCTCCCCCTACCCACCCTTGTATGTGTGCAGTAAGCACACCGATCAATAGCAGGGCCGATGGCGTGCAATATCGGTATCTGAGTAGGAATGTGGAGGGGGTCAACAGATGGCGGAGAAGAGGCGTCAAGGACAGGAGATGTGTGTGTTGTGTTGGAACTATTGGAAAGATGATGTTATTGATTTGGATACGTGTTGGGTAATGTAGTGATTGGAGGTATGCGAGGTTACAGTAAGGTTTGCCTAACGAATATGCGCCAAGTATTTCCTCTTAGCTCATTTCTTTGCTTTTATCCCAGTTGCTTTTGCTTTTTTCATGTGTGGCGTAGGAGCAGGAATTGAATTGGTATTACTGCACGTAACTACACATGCGTCCATTCTCAAGTATGCTTACCTGAGCACAAAGACATTGTTAAGTGCCATGGACGAGGTATTTGGACTCCGTACATGGCAACTGCACACGCGTGCTTCACATACAAAAACTCTTTCGTTGAGATACATAGAGCATCAAGGACCGATATCGCCTTGTCAATGCGGTACGTGATAGTGCGCGTACCTCCTGTTCCGTTTTCCGAACCCATTTTTGGGCACAGACAATGAATTGCTTTTCTTCTCGCACCTGTCAGCAAAATTGGTCATTTCTTAGTCATTGCATAGTACATTGTGCACTGCCTTCGTGTTGAATTGCGACTACATCAAGGAATACGAGTGACCTGATGTATGCAGTATAGTGGATGAAATGGATGAAATGAAGCATCGGTAGGGCTGCAGCAACGCTAGACATAGTTGTGGCCCTCTGCTGTGACCAGGTTGGGATTGGCCGATGACATCAACCAGCCATGCTTCCAGATGCTCGAGAATACGTCTTCTAAAGGGCTCCACAATTGGCCGCAGGAGGTGGGCAGTCGCTTGTACCCATTGACAAACTTTGGCGTGTCCGGTGGGTTATAGTCCCGCAGCTGTAGCTGAGCAATCGATGAATCGCGGAGACGGTCTCCCTAGCTTCGTAATGGTACCACCTGTAGAATAAGCCCGGACAAGCATTACAACGAACGCTGGCGGAAAGCCCAGCACCGTCCAGTCGGCTACTAGAAACACGTGGCGGACCCACGCATACACACATACCCGGGGAAGCGGGCGCGTGCTGCATGCCTTGGCGCGCATACAGGCGGTGTGATTATGCATACTGCAGACAGCTTCGTGGAAGGTACTCCAGCATGGCAAAACTTGATGATGCACTTTTAAACTGGGATATGATGTCAGACCGCTCCCAGGATCCCCAGCAATAGGGCGGAAAAAATTCGCTTCTTGTGGAGCGATGAGACCGCTGCATTCATGTACTAGGTAATATGTAGAGGTAGCAGGCCTGAGCGAGAAACGGGCCGGCCAGTGTACAATGTACCACCGCTTGATTTCTGCCATTGGGCAAGGGTTGCGGCATTTAGATGATTCATGGTATATTCTACTATCTGCGCGTCGGCGTCGTGGTCCCGGAACCGGAATGCTGAGGATGATCTGGAATAGTATCGAGAGCCGCATTCCGGACTGCCGAGACGGCTTTACTTTCTTTTACCTTCCAATCATCACCTTTGCGTACCAATTTAGATCGGTCCTTTTCTGCCTTCTTGAGCAACATTTCTTCAATCTTTGCGTCTCGCCGAGTGCCCTGGACGCAATCACAGAGACAACCTTCGGTTGGACATGCACCTTCTGATAAAACCGGGTCCGCAAACCATGTCGAAAGACAATTCGCATGTCCACCATGTCCACAAAGCGGACACCACGTCCACAACGTGGCCGTAGGTGCAGACCACTCCGTCGGGACGGACGGTGATGGCCCGACAGCATCACGATCGTCCCCAAGGTTTTGGCCCGAAGTAAGAGACGATCGCTGCCGCTTGTGTCCTCGGTCCTTTAGATTAGAACGAAACTTTGACTTGGCCTTTTTTGCGGTAAGCGGCTCAAAGGCCGGACACTTGGCCCAGCAAATTGGGCATGGCGCCTGTGTTCGCTTACACGACTCACATCGCATCTTGTCTTTGGGATTATTGATTGGCGACTTGCAGCTGAGACACAGCAATCCGAGTTGTGTTTCTTTGAGCGCTTGTTCGTACACGGCGGGATAGGCGGGATAGGCTAGCCTGCGTAGCGTAGCCGCAGAGTTGAACAATGATAGCGAGTGCAGTTGTGAGTGGTAGGTATGAAGAATAGACTCTGCTTGATAAGGATTGATCCCTGTGGCTATAAGCTGACTCAACTGTGTCGAGAGGATGGCCTTTGCCTGTGCTGGACTGAGCCCAAGAGCCACAAAGGTATCCGCAAAGGCGTTGAGGACATCGCCTACATTTGCACCGGGGTCATCTGTTGGACTTTGTGTCTGCGGAAGGAGTGGTTGGAGAAGGAGAAGAAGGATTGAAGGAAACTGCGCATCCGACGCTTGTGTATGGTATGCAAGAACGCTGTTCAGCAAGCCGATCACGGAATAAGGCGATCCTGCTTCTGCATCGACATGTATGGCCGTGAAGTCGGACAGCAACAAGCCATCCTCCGTGGTTGGATCCATCACAGGGGGCGCGCTTCCAGATGCATGTGGCATATTTGGCGGCGGCGGCGGCTGCTTTTGGACATGAGGCGATCGCATGTCATCCACGTCAGGCACGATTGTCCCACTTGCCTCCATGTCTATATTGTGGTCATACGAGGATGAGTATATGCTGGTGAGTGCTTCGGAATCCGAACTATCCTGACGAAGCAGTTGATTGTTCCGTCGCAGGTTCTCCATGTCACGAACGACCGTTTCTCCATTGTCAGATTGATCAGCATGGTTCATTCCTTTGCTTGCGGGGCCTTCGGTATGCTGTCGATTCAGAGAACCGTTTCCACCAATAGGAATAGTGGTTGGAGATATTGGCACGCTTTTACCTAGATCTTCATCTTTAGAGTTTCTAGGCTTTCCAAAGCTAGAGTGTTCCGGAACCGTGTCCCAGTCCTCTGATGAGAGCTTTTCCCGGTTTGATGGCGAGTCACCGCTTGCAAATGAACT